CTTCTGTTCACGCAGTATAATTACTGTGATTATTAATAAATATATATATAAGTTACTTTTGGCAAAGACCAGTTACATTCATTGTTTGTAAATGTCACTGATGCTTGCCAGCGTGTCAGTATATGTCTGTACGAATATTAAAATATTTGTGCAAGTGAGTAACATTTTACTTGAATCTTGGCTAGTACAATCGTAACTTGAGATTGTTTATAGTTTTTTTTTGTGCTCGTTAATATTCTCTGAATTCGAATTTCATATGAGGGTGTAATAAACAAAGACTGATGTCAGAATTGAGGAAAAACAAGACAATTGTACTTTTCACAAATACTTCATTTATTACGACCAATTGCTTTTCCTCAATTCTGTAATTATGGGGTTTCACCAAGTACCGACGGTTTTCAAGTATTAATTGTATAAAAGACTAATGTCTTATGGAGTTTGCCTCCCCATTGGCACAACGATATGTTTACGGACTTATACTGCTAGAAACCGGGTTTCGATACCCATGGTGGACAGAGCACAGATAGCGCTTTGTATAACTTTGTGCTTAATAACAAACAACAACTTATGGAGTTCGTGGTTCCATATAGTGTGGTTTCTGTACAAGCAAGCTAATGCATGTGTTTTTAACTTTTTTTACAAGCCATTGGTCCGTATCACATGAGTTAAAGTTTGTCATTTGATTTTACTATTTATTCTCGTTTTTTTAATAATTGTATTGCTATTATAAGTTGCGTTTTAACTTGTTTGGTGCTTGATATCAGCTTTATTTTTCATGAGGCCTAACATTACTGTCCACTAGAAACTGAGTGTTTTTACTTTAATTTACAGAAATATGAATACATCATGCTCCTGCTAAAATCTAATCGTTATATCGTAACATTAAGCAGAAAACAACTACTATTTTCTTCATTAAAGTTATAAGTTGTTCCTCGTATGGGCACAGCTGTGACAGTTCAGAGGCTGATATTGACGTTCGTTTATTCGATTCTTGGATTAGAGATGTTCCCGACTGTTTTTGTAATAATTTTGCCTTTTGTATTAAAATTTGATAAGACAATCATTCAACCAATTGTCTGGAAGTCATGCCCAAAAAAGTGACCCCAGCTGGAAGTCATTCCCAAAATAGTAACCCCAGATAACTTCTTGAGTCTGTGCCGGCATATTTTTTGCTTCTTCAGTTGTTTATTGACTTCACTTTTCTTTGTATTCTTTCTTGTAAAATTTATGTTGACGATTTTATATTTCTTTACCTATTTTAATTCAGCTGGTTTAGATAAAAGTAGAATATCTGTTGCCATTGGAAATTTACGGAAAAAAAAAGAAAACATCAAGGTTTAAATAGTTACATGACCTTTTTAATTGTTCAGAAACTTCTATTGTTCAAACGAAATAATAAAATACACTCGAATTCATTAACTAGTAAAAGTATTTAGATTATCTCTTTATTTAAAATTATATCAGATTCTTTGTTAGAATACATTCTTCAGCAACTTGGAAATTTAAAAAAATAGAAACTAGAAAAAAAGATATTCAATAAAGTCAAAATATAAAAATACAAAAAATTTAAAATGTAGAAATGTTTGCTATATAAAAGTTTTCCTTAACACTATATATATATATATATAAACATATTATTTTTATATCCAGAGCATATATGTGTTGTCATTGGAAAATATATTCGCGTGTCATGTAAATGGCTGATTTTGACATAATATATTTATGTGTGTTATTATATTGTATGCTTTCAATTTTTATAATAATTTTAAAATTCACCCATACATTGAACTTGGTTGTATATACTTATAGCACTATACCACAACCTTCTTTTCAAAGTATTTTGTGTAATTTTCTCCGTCAGATTTATCCACGCTAATAATATCAAAAATTGTTTAAGAATTTACTCTCAATGCTTCACAAATGCTATCCCTAAATTTGAGGTGATGGGCTAGACGAAACAGCTTATCAACGGCACTCAGCACCAGTTCTTAAACTACTCTGTATCTGAACGAATAGTAGCTTTGGACCATTACGTTCATAGAGCACCCATGGGCTCAAAGTGTGGAGCGCCCCATTTGCGGCGAAGGGACACGAACCCTTAATCTTCGGAATTATATTTGAGCATGCTAACTACTAGGCCATGCCATACTCTTCATACCAATAAAAATTAATAACTTTATGTTATATTTTTACGAGCGTAGTATTATGTATTATCTAATTAACCAATTGACCTAAAACTGATACTTTATATTCAATACACGTGAAAGAAAAAACAAAAACAGTTAAATGTTTGATGTCAACAAATCAAGAAATATTAGAAGCTGAACCAAGATGATGTGTTCTCAATATGCTTTTTTTCTTTCTTCCTTTCCTTTATTTTCAGTGAACAGACCCGTCCAGAATGGATGTAGGAATGGGGCTGGACCCAAACATGGAAACTCTCCGTAAAAGGAAGATCAATGAAATCAAGTAAGATAAAGAAATTTCAAACTGCTTAAAATGTGTTATCACACGATTTATGCACCCTCTGCTTATTGTCTAAAATAATGTTAACGCATAATTATGCGACTGAAAGTTATGTAAAATAAGATCTATTTTTCTTGTTGTTCTTATTCCAAGCAGTGGTGTTATCCCACCGTGTAGACCACATGAATCAACTTGTCTATATCATCATCTCTACAACATTATTGTATTGTTAGTGTATTGTACATTTTTCCACAGTACCCTGTTCTCAGTAGAATGGTCTTTGTTATGATGGAAACAAACAAATTAAAGTAGAAACTTTTTTCTCGAGTGACTTCAAATCAATAGCGCTATAAGTTCATATAAATATCATAGAAAATAGTTTAATTGTTTTTTAAATGAGAGTAGTTGTTGCCTTTACAAGAGACTGCCAGCGACTCAAAGTAATTATTAATCATTTCAGATGTCATATATAAAGATGAGACTCCAATACTAATCACTCTCTATATATTTTATACTCGTTAGAGTCAGAAGATAAGTAATATAGAGTTGTAGAATGTGTCCACATTCTGTTTACAATATTTAGTGATGATTGGATACTCTTACTCAGAGAAACAGAACAATAAAGTAGGTAAAGAAGTTGTTCATAGAAATAGAACAATAAAGTAGGCAAAGAAGTTGTTCATAGAAACAGAACAATAAAGTAGGCAAAGAAGTTGTTCATAGAAACAGAACAATAAAGTAGGTAAAGAAGCAACTTCTTTACCTACTTTATTGTTCTGTTTCTATGAGCAACTTCTTTACCTACTTTATTGTTCTGTTTCTATGAACAACTTCTTTACCTACTTTATTGTTCTGTTTCTATGAACAACTTCTTTACCTACTTTATTGTTCTGTTTCTATGAGCAACTTCTTTACCTACTTTATTGTTCTGTTTCTATGAAATACTTTTGAATTTATTGAACTTATCTATGATCTTATTTTTATAATATATTGCCTTAATGTTTTAGGTCGTAAAAACATTCCTTTGAATTTGCTTCTTTCTTACTTTTATGCACAAACTTCTTTACCCACTTTATTGTTTTTCTGTTTCTATGAGCAACTTCTTTACCTAGTTTATTCTTCTGTTTCTATGAACAGCTTCTTTACCTACTTTATTGTTCTGTTTCTATGAGCAACTTCTTTACCTACGTTATTGTTCTGTTTCTATGAGCAAAACACAAGATATCAAAACCCATCAGA